AAAAAAGAAAATCCTATCAGTGGTAATGTAGCTGGATTTAACTTCTTTGTCAGCATCAGCTGTTGAGAGGTAATGTAAAACTCAGAGTAAACGTCTTTTCTTCCTGTTGCTCATAACATTTCTGTGGGTTTGTTAATAGCAACCCTAGCATCCAGTTTAAAGAAGTGACTTCTGCTTGCTTCAGTTTCAGCGTGTGAGTGGTGGTGTGCGTGGTGTTTCATTGTCACCAGAAGTTGCGCAGTTGAATTACTGTGTGGCTGCCGTCCAAGGGGAGACCACTGCACATGGAGTTGTTTGAGTTTATACTCCGTGTGATTTGGGTTCTTTCCTCCTGGCAGAGGAGGCGTTCAAGGTTTATTGAATGAAATGAAAATAAAAAGTCACTAACTGCCACATTTATGGAGAAAAACTTTTATAGTAGTTTATACATGAAGCTGCTTGGCTTATAGTGAAGAAAACAAATTATATGCCCTTTGCACTGTTACGTAGACTTTTAGCTTGTGCTGTACGTCCTCACAAGTTTATTGACCAGCATTGTTTCATTTCTTAAGAGATTTTGCAGCTTTCAATTTCAGACCAATGATAACTAACATCTTCTTTGTGTAATTGTGATGCACAACTCTATATTAGCAACCGAGATTCTTTAAAAGTTATCTGTTAGTAATGTTTTAAAATGTAATTACCATCTCTGCCTTAAAGGAATTTACAACCTAGGTAGGGAAATAAGATACACACACACACACACACACACACACACACACACACACACACATAAATAGTTAAAGAAGTATGACTTGATTTTACCAAAGGAATGATTGTGACAATCAGGCTGTATTACATATGAATTAGTACAGTAATGATGCCAATGGTAAAAAAATATTGATTTATGTGTGTACAGTCTGCTTGTACAAAGCTGTATAGACATACAAAAAGGTAGAGAGACACATCAGAATGTAGTTAGTTAACTGAAAGTGTAGTGTACTGAGCAACTTGTCTTTTGATTTCCCCCAACCCCTTGTAATTTTTAGGTCTGCTTCTCCAAAACATGGATTCACCATTATGAATAGGCTGAGCATGGAAAATAGGACAGAGCCCATTACTAAAGACCTGGATTTCCAACTCCAGGACCCTTTCCTTCTCTACAGAAATGCCAGATGTGAGTCTTTCTTAATACGTTGGGTAGTTTTACCTCTGAAGTTTGGCCCAGTGTTTAAAATTGGACAGTATATGCTTTTGTGTTTGTGTTTAGTATCAGTGACTGTTAGCTTGGGGATTGCATGCCTAATTGAGGGAATAGCTTCTTCCTTGGAAAAGTTCAAGTGAGTATGAATGTGATGATATGTCTTTAAACCCTGTCTTCTGCAGCTTTACCAATTTGTAGTGTGACCCTATCCTTGATCTTAAGCCTGAGCAGGGTTGGTTGAGGCGAATTGTTGGTCAGGAGACTCCAGAGGGACACAGATGGTACCACTGAACATAGAATTAATGATTCAGCTGGTAGCACTTTTTCTTTATGTATCTCTTCCAGCTGAATGTTCTGATAAAGTGTTGGAGGGAGAGGGTCTGTATTCTAGAAGTGCCATCTTCTGAATACAAAGAATGAAAAATCAAAAGCCAAAGGATTTCTTTTTGTTATTAAGAATTTCATAACCCTTGGTAATGCCGAAGTTACAGTAGGTAACTAAATGGTCCTTGTCAGATTTGAAATGAGGTAGCAGTCACCTATGTAGTATTCTGTCTCCATTTTATTATCATATTTTATCTGACCACTTGTCCTGGACTGTTGGGCAGCCCAGAGAAAGACTGATGAAAATGTATCAATTTCAGGGGCATCTCCGTACACAAAAACAAGAACATACCACTCAGTATACAAAAACTTGTGCACACACGCACTTGTGCTTTGCGGATAGCTTTCAAAAGACATTACGTTAAGAAATGTTTTCTATACAGTTTTCATCCTACTCTTTGAGCTTAAGATACAAGAATTTGCCTACTGTATACCATTCAGTGCAGTTTTAATAATGAATGTAATATAAGTAATATTTGACAGTGCATGATATTTAATGCATATTTACTTATATTTACTTAATCAAGTTGTTATGATAGGCAGCCATCCTATTATTTAGAGAATACAGTTAAATTTTTATGGGAGAAAAAAATGAAAG